TGGATCAACAAAGCTTTATTACAAGTATGTATTCCAATAACTGTTTTGTCTTGGACTTGATTTCCCATGTGATGGGTAAGCTTTATTACCATACGGAAGCTAGGTGCTTGGCGTGTTTAGTGCATTCAGTAACTTTTTACTTTTTTCACACCTTTAGGATAAAAACTGTTTCTTGTAATGTTTTCCTGTATATTATCTTGACAAATTTTAAATTGCCTTCTTTAGTCTGATTCACTCCATGCAGGCTTGTCCATGTTTTAATAGTGAAAAATGGTAATATTCCATGTAACTGATACAGGTTAGTTTAAATAAGATATCAGAATACGCCTAAAGAATGTGAACTATGAATTAGATGGCCTAAGTAGCCTGTATACTTAATTTAAGGGGTATTATTTACATAAGTCAACCAAATTTTAAATTACAATCAACATCGCATGCATTTCACCTTTTACAATCATTGTCTTATGCTAAGAACTTAGCAAGGCTTAAAAACTGCATGCGTAAGAAATTTTAAAAAACTTTCTCATTTGTCAAGTTTGTTCTCCTTTTATGAACTTCAACTAATATATACAGATGTGTTTGTGTAGAGCTTTTGGGCTGGTGGACATTATTGTACTTTGCAGGAGAAGATGCATCACAGGAAACATGCCTGGCAAGTTTGCTTTGCATGTACAAATCACGGGGATCTCACTTTTGTATTTCCTATCAGAATAAGTTGCTAGCAGTCTTCTATGTTGTAAAGGAGCTAGTTGTCTTAAAATAATTTAATGCTTTCATTTTTTCATATTTTAAATGGTACATCCATGCTGCTATAGTTAAACATCTGTCAGTGTTTCAATTATAAAACCTCTTGAGGAAGAGAGGCTTTACAGAATGAGCAGCTGCATTTCTTGCAGTCTAAAAACTGGCATGTGTTATTTCAATACAGGATTATTTTATATAAATATTTTCCATTTATTTTTCTTTTATGTCTTGAATTAATTGAGGCTCAAACAGCATGCTGCCTGGCAAAATGCACATGAACTATTGTAATAGCTTGCCCTCCATAGTCTTGCCAATTATTTTGTGTGGGCCATCTAACGAGTGTAGGTAGCTATTGAATATAGGAATCTACACAATAACACTCATGTCAGTAGCTGGCTGTGGTGTCATCTGGCTCTTCTATTTTGAGTCTCTTAAACTGTCAAAGGCAGGGAGATGAGCTCCCCAAGTGCAGTGGCTTGTTTGGTGGAGAGAACTCCCGAAGGACATCAGGGGTCTTGTGTGTCACAGACTGGGACCAGTATAGAAAGCCCAGTCAAACAGTGCTTGTTTGGAGTGATGCCACCTAAGCACATTCCAAGTGGCACTACTCAACCCTGGACAGCTGGACTACAAGAACCTGTACCCTGGGCATTTGTTTTTTATCTGTTATAGACTGATAAGATTTCTATTAGCTTTTTCTTAAACAAAAGCCAAATTAACTATAACAATAACTCTAAAAAGCTAATATTTACCATATAAAATGCACTTCACAAAACCAAGTTTGAATAGTATCGTACAAAGTGTTTTAGGCCTGAGTCTGTAATAGGGCTGAACTGGCTTTAAGCATGCCATACTTTGCTTGTTTAACTTCTGTATGTTCTTTACTTGAATGGACAGGCAACTTTTTTATATGYATTCAAAGCAAAAAGTCTTGGTAAAACAYAGAATTAGAGAATCACAGAATGGTGGAGGTTGGCAGGGATCTCTAGAGATCATCTCCCTGCTCAGGCATGGAAATTAGAAATCCAGTAATGTACATTACAACCACTGCCGTTTACAACTGAGTAAACAAGAAAACGTAATTAATAAAGAACTTGCGCAACATTTTATATAATTGCTCAGATTCTTCCTTTCAAACACCCCAGTTCTCAATACTGTTCTTTTCTCTAAAGCTTGCTGGTGGATTTCTGTTAATTATACTACAGAAAGTGATTTTTGAAACTTGTGCAGGTTTGTCAGCTTGTAGARGTAAAATGTCATAAAAGTATTTAGAGTTGGCATTCTGGCCTAATTTTTAGTATTTCAAATGGCTAGTTATATCATAACTTATTACATGTAGTTCAGTGTAAGTATTTTATAGCTGCCAAGGGAATGCTGCAGCCATCTTGTAAACATTTTTGTCTGGAGCGTTAATGGTTGAGTGAAAWCACTGGAGTTGTGGCAGGCTACATAGGCTGAGCAACTGGCCCCTGAACAGCATGCTACYAGAAACAATTGTCATAATATATGAGCTTTTTTGATACTTCTCCTGATTGTGACAGGTAATGTGCATACATAGTCAATATTTTAAGAGAGATAGTATCTCTGGCACAAATGCTAAATTTAGCAGTGGACAGATTTTGAGTGGCCAGGAGTTAGCAGCTGTGACCTCTTGAGAGACATCTGCAGTGACATTTGTAAGAGATGGTGCTTCGTATCYTCCTGCCCTCCTGGTTTCCTGTAAGCTGCTTGGCAGCACACTCCATCTTTGGGAGATGGTGCTTTRCAAATTGTTACTAGTAGCAGAAATGACCAAATCAGCAGCTAGTAGCCTCTGCTTCAAGCAAGGACAAGCTGCCACTGATCAGCTCGTCAATGCTGCATCTTGCTGCTTTGAGTTACAACATCTCCTGCCTCTCCTTGAGAATTCCCTTGGCCCGCTACCTCTAATCCAGGAAATAAAGGTATAATCTGCACACTACTCATACCAGATTGCAAACTTTTGTTTTAATTTAGGCATGGAGTTTTTGCATTTAGTACTGTCTTGATATCATTATGTGGCTGTCCTAAATAGAGCTAAATTTATCGATCTTACTGACAGTTAAGTATTTTGTTTCAACAAGTTTGAAATTCTGTTGCAGAAAGGCAAATGACTATATTTTTGTACCAACAAAATGGAACACCATTAGTTGTATTTATGTGAAGGAAAAATTAGGAAATTAAAGCATTAGAGACTTCAAGTTTAATGATTGCTRGAAAATAAGCTAATCACTGACTGATTATTCTAGGCATGCTCAATTTGTAGGGCACACATCTCTTCTGGACCTCATGCAAATCTAACGACAGGATATCTCACTGCTTGATTCAAACAAATTTAAGCCAAATATTCAGCAGCTCTATCTGCATAAAATAGTCTAGTTATATTACAGGAACACAAAAAGTCATTTTTAAAATGTATAAAAACAGACTTTCAACTGTATCAAAGAACTATGTTGTGTGTGCTGTGAGTGCAGATAATTGCCCTATTGATAAGTGTTTGGAATTCATACCCAATATTTTTTCCGGACAATGTTATCTTATTACCTCATGGACGAAATCTCAGGGGACATTAATGTTCTTATCTCCCTTCCTGCATTGCTTCAACAGATATTCTACCATCTTTAACTACAGATAAGAATTTTAAGAAATGGAAGATAAGAGATTTAAGTATTTGCTGAGAACAACATCATATACTGTCTTATGCAATCTTTTGTGGCCTACACAGTGCCACACAGTATAGAAGTGTTTGTTTCTTGGCTTCAGATTGCCTTTTGGCATTGTACTTAGAGGACCATTATTAGTGGAAGCCGCAGGTGATTTTTACAGAMAAGTAATACCCATCACTTTCCTCACAAAGAGCTGATTAACTGAAGTTGCAAGATTAAATGAACAACTAAAGGAATATTGTCCCAATTAACATATTACATATTATAACTGAGTACAATAAAATTTTACTACTCACTTCCATAGTGTCTTTTGAAAGATAAACAACCCAGTAGACCAGGTTGAATCCTGCAAATGCCAGGGGAAAGAGGATCCTAGAATACTGGTCTATTTTACTTGTCCCTCCAATAGGTGGTGGTGGTGGCGGTGGTGCTGGTGGTGCAGCAGATCCTGGTGGACACTGGGAGGTAATATCTGATGTTATGCTGGCATGAGGAGACTGTTCTGCCTGAGATGTTACAGAGTTTATTCGCTTCTTCAGGTTACAGTTGGAATCAGAATGCTGCGGAGGGRAAAATACAAACAATGTTCATTTTATGGTTATATGGGTTTCAGCTCTAGGTTTTGCAGTATTGACTTGCTGACTCTGTGCTGTAGAAGAATGCAAAGAAATCACTGCTAATGCAAAAAATAGATGCATTTGTGGTCTTCATTTACTGTAAAAATATAAAAGAATGTCCACTCTGTATTGTCAGTGTGTTACTAATGGGAAGTTACAAGAGCAAGGGGAGAAAAAGAACAGACAACATTACAAGGAACCCAAAAGGAGGTAAGTGTGCCTAAATTGCAATACATGAGTATGACTGAAGCTTATTTGAACGTGAGACAGCTTTACACCAAAGAGCATCCACTGGCTTTCTTCACCGTACAAGTCCAGTGATAAGTTTAGAAAAATACTGAATAGAACCAGGATGCCTTATTGGTCCCCAAACTAACTGTTGGTAAGCTGGAAAAATGCTGAAAGAAAGGAAAAGAATTAACTGTACAGCTGCCCAAGGCATTAATACTAAAATCTCAGTTTTCTCTAGAGTGAAATTCAGTTTTCAGCTATGATTCCTACAGCAGTGTCATACATAGAAATGAAGACAAAGTTCTTCTAACTATAATGGGAGTATTTTTAGTGTAATTTATGGCAAAAGGAAACCTTGTGCTTCCCATACTTGTGCAATATTCATAGTTAGCTCCACTTTTGAGTTGTACAAAAATCTCTTAAAGTTTAATCAGACTCCAGGAACGTTTATTGTTTATCTCCTTAATTGTGAGGTCAGCAGTTATCCTGGCTTGTTTTATCTGGTCTTTTTTTTTACTTTCATGAGAAATGAAAATGTCATAGTTGCAGAAATTGACATAGGATGTAGCACAGAATTGATGACTTATCATAATGTAAATTTTTCATTTGGATCCACACTAGTATTCGAGACAAAGATATTTTCAAATCTCAGGTAGCAGTGCCTGCTACCAGCCCCTGCCAGAGTTCACCTCGAGGAGCACAGATCCATGCCAGCAGCTACAAGTCAGGTTAAATGACTGAGAAGATAAAATAAGGTAAAGAAGGCCTTCTATTTTCTTTATTTTATTATACTAATGGCGAATAGTAGCTTGGATTCTAAGCAACATTAACAGTGTTTTAATTGAGCTTGAGTCTAGGCATAATGGAGGGAGGAGTGTCTGCAAAACTTAGAGATGAATGATGAAAAACATTGTGCAGTCAAATGGCAAAATATTGATAATTCTCATTTGAATAACCAGTGTTTTGGTCAGATGATTGAACAAATGCTGCTGGTAAATCGAGTCTTAGGCCATGTAAATACTGTTACAATGGAACAGTGTTTATCTAATGCAAACCTATTAGGAACATTTAAATGGTTTTAGGGTAGCAAAATTGTTACCTATGTATGTAACTTCCAATGTGATTCCAATGTGGGCATCTTTTAGTCATTATTTGCTTAAGTGTTGCCTACTTTCAGTATTACCACAATTTATCCCCTAGCATTTCAATGCACGGAAACCTGCTTTTTGTAATCAGATGCAGGACTGTATCTTTAGGAGAAAAAGGCATGAGCATGTGCCGCAATACATGGGTCATAGTCGCAAACTGGCAGTGTTCTGTAGATTAAAAATAAAAACTAGCCTATACCTGTCTAGAATTCTGCATATGATTTTTTTAAAAAAAGCTCTAACAAATTACCCACCCGGTGTTCAGTCCTCTCATACTTCAAAAGCATGAGAGCAAGCTACCTTGCTAGAACACAATGCCAATTTCTGCTTTTGGATGACTGTGTTGGTATCCAACTGGAACTGGGGAGAGATGGATTTCCTGAAGCTGATTTTAGTCTAGGGATAAGGAAGGAGATGACAATATCTTATTTTCACAAAAGTGTTTTTTCCTTATCCATGTCTTTTACCTAATGCCCTTTTTTCTTTGCATCTTGTCAAGACTTCCTACTTTACTTGCCCTATTCTTTTCATTTTGTCATCTCCATGTTAAATTAGAATCATGCCTCGAATGGATACTAAGTGTCATATTCTGGGAACGTGCCTATTTAGAATGCAGATGTTTAGTTTTGTAATTTCCAGTTACACAGCAAGCAGCACAGATTTTAATGGAGGATCATCTACAGATGTCACAGAAACAAGCAGAGGGTTAGCCATGCCTGCTTTCACTAATCGTAGTAATAATCTCATTCTATAAATAGACGGACAGAGCCAGAGTCACTGCTTTCATTTAAGTTGCTTGCATGCTCTGCTCTGCACTGTGAGGGTCGCAATATAGATTGTCCTGTTTCGGAAGCAAGGTGGCTTGGTCTGCTGTGGTGATTAAATGATTCATAAAAGGGTGGTTGAGGTATATCTCAGTCCTTATCTGGCAATGAACTAGGTCAGAYTTGCTCTGCTTGGCGCAAGCATGAATCAAGAGTGATTGTTCTGAGGTGATGGCTAAAACTAGTAGAACAGACATAGCATATGGTTTGTGGCTGATCTGGAGTGGCCATACTCTGCAATGCAACGGTAAAACAATTATTTGTTAGCCTGGATCTTTGAAAAAGGTTATATTTGTCATTGCTTATTTGTTAAATTTTACATATATGTATACACATTACTATATCTTGATGTCATTCTAGAAAATCCTTTAAGAGTTGGAGACTCTGTATATCCTCAGAACCTGGGGAGGACAGTGAAGCTTAGCTGAAAACAGTTTTATGGTCCCACTTTTAGACCTCTTTAGATCTCTGGGTCAACAGACTGCTCCCTTCTCATTATCTAAAATATCCTATTCTGTTATTTGGAAGGGATGACTGCATTTTACAGCTTCAGTAATGCTGCAGTTGTCATGCTCTTCAGGTGCTGAAGATATTTTTTGGAATTGATACAAATGATTAAGCAAGCCCTTGAATAATTCTTTATGCTCTTTGTCACTCTTCTATTGCTAAGGATATGGTCTAGGGCTTACATAAATCAAGTGAACAATTCTTTATAGTCTTTGACCCCCTGTGTGCTAATCTAGCAAGACAGGGTCTAGATGACTTGGTWGTCTGCCACTACCCGGGATATAGAATTAGAAGTCTAAATTTACCTCAGACTTCTAATGAAGATGTTTCTCAGTTTAGTAGCTGACAGCAGACTAGTCTTGGTGCCCCAGAACAGTGATCCATACTTATTAGAAAACATTGTTAAATCAAGAGGAGGAGGAAGTGGGAGAAAACCATGTAGTTTCTATGGCATCGGAGTTTCGAACAGCAGCTACAGTCATTTGTTTACTATGTTTAGATTTAGCTTTTCCTTTTGACAAAGCTTTCTGCAGTGGCATCTTGAAACCTCAGCGAAGTGGAGAAAAAAMCAGGAATGAGTGGGCCTATTCTTGTTCCTGTTTTGCATAGTTCATACAGCCAATTATTCAAATAGTACAGACTGTAGTAGAAATAGTAACAACAAAAAGCTAAAAGTGGCATGAGATACTGTCACAGTGAAATAATGCATTTTTAAGCTACTGAATTCTGATTTGCAAGAGCATTTTTCTGCGTTCCTATAGAATGTTATTCCCATCAGACAATTCAACTTGTCACAATGTATAACTGCCCAGTATCACAGGACTCATCATGCTTAATGTGAGGTATCATAAAATTGCACCAGGTAAGTGTTGGTATATAGGTTGCCAAGTATATTGTCTGAATTCTATTAAGCTTTTGCAGTTAGCTGTCTGATCTCCCAGAGTGGCTTCCTCTCGTCTATAGAAGAGCAGATATCTCACACATTTCATCAACGTCACGAGAATTTGTTCATGCTCAGAACATCTTAAAAAGCTCTCAGTAAATTGTGCTTTTAACTTATAGGGGGTATATGACCTTAGAGTAAGTGTAATTCTTGTTGTTTTCTCTTTTTATATAGATCCTAATTGTGATTTGCAAATATACTTCATTTTAATATTTTCCTCAAGATAGTTCTAAAACCTATATGTAAAATTCTCTAAAGATCTGCGTTCTTTGTACTATAAAAACATTTCTGGTATCAGTTCAGCTTATGGCATAGCAGTAACCTGAGTACTGTATGTAGGTTTTCAAATACCATCTAACTTTAAACTTTTAAACTTTACTATATTCTGATGTAATTATAGGAAACCAAACCCTCTACAGTGAAGTGACATATGGCTGCTCTGCAGTTGGGAAGGAGTGTTAAAGAGAATGAGAATCCTCTTCTGCTTGAGCCTTGCTCTTTTGAAACACAGGTAAAGAGCTATTTGTAGTGAGAAGGAAATTCTCCCACCAATAGTTGTGTTGTGCACTGTTTCCTGTTTACTATCAGCTCTTTAGGACATAACTATAATCAGGCTACAATTTTCTAACAGTATTTTATCTCTAGATGTACCCTCTCCCATGGAAAGGATGTCTTTTGAGCCACAGTGTGCAATCAGAGGTCACAAAGTGACCATCTTGTAGAGTACCATCTTAAACAGTGCATCCCAGCTGGTGTCCACAATTCCCCTTCCCCTGCAATTTCCACAAGTGGGATACTCTGAATAAAGAAAGTGGAAACTATGAAACGGACTGATATTAAAAAGATAGTTTTTTAAAATGGAGCTAAATGGTGCAATGTTTTCTATAAGTATGCACATATATACACGCACATATAGGAAATGTCTGTTTTTGACCTACTACCACAAGCTTGGTCAGCATATAAATAAGAATAGGCTTCTGTCAGGGTCCAGATGAGCGCTCAGCTTGCTGCTGTCATTTTGGAGCGGAACACCCATAGTTTGTATTTCACACAGGGATTGCCTGCAGTTGACAGGCAGAGCAAGCCAAGTTGTGCTCTCAGTTAACTGAGGTAAACAGAGTGGTTTTCCTGATGCCAAAATAGTTATCCTGGGCTCTCACGAGCTAACTGAGCACATAGTCTGCACCTTTAAACCAGTAGAGTACAATAACTTCAAGAGAGTTTCTCTAACCTTCATTACTAGGATGTAGCAGGCTTTGGACTTGTGCCATTTTTGGTTTTGGAGTATGATTAATTTGGACTATATAAAAACTTGTAAGATTTGAAGGGACTTATGCACAGGAATAAAAGAATGTTTTGACAAAATTAACTAGACTGGTAAGTGCAAGCTTTGAAAGTATTTTGATTTTCGCATAAAATTATTAATTGGGAATGGAAAAATAATATACTGTATTTCTAAAATGATTGAATTGGGTCCCCATTCAAGCAACAAAAGTTTCAAACAAACTATTGCAGCTCTCAAACTCATTTCATTTCTACTAAAGGCATCTTTCCAGGCCTTTTTTTTTTTTTTTTTACACAAAGAAGGCATCTCCTCCTCCATAGAATCTACTAGTTCAGACAGGACAAGGATACTGCCTTCAACGTGTTTTTTTAGTCACCCTTTGAGCAATGCTGGATAATACATTACTAAAAACATAGTCTGTGTTATAACTCTTTCCCTTACTACTGATTTTAGGAGTGATACAGCCACAAAAAACCCCAGTGTGCCTCACTTGTATTTTTACACGTGGACACCCAAAAATCAATACAACTTATACATTTTTTAGAAACATCATCTAAAAATATCATTTTTAAAAATGCAGAAGTATTTCTAATACTGATWCTTTTTGATCTGTATCTGCCCCTTCATATAGTCAAAACTTTGACAATGTATGTATACAGAAGTTGCAGACCGAAAATCTTAATATTGAATGAGGATGAAACTTTTCTACCTTGTGTAATAGAGGAAAAAACTCCCCTCAGATCAGAAAAACAAGGAAGCRAAGCCTAAGGCATGAGAGAAGGCAAGCATCTTAATTACAATTTTAAAAATCAAATAAAGCAGACTTTTTAATAAGAGTGGATTCTAATCTTTTTTCTAATCCATTAAAAAAATGTGAAGAAGACTGGGGGGTGGAAAATAAGAGCTGGAGAGCTAGGATAAACCTAACTTATAGAAGAGATAGATTGGAAAAAGTGCCAGCAACCAGAGAAAGACATTGTGGAAGAAAAAGTAATGAAGTAATTTAGAAGCAGATAAGTTAAAGAAGCTGGAGGCTAAAGGGAGGATGGCTGGGGCTAAGGATCACTAGATATTCTTAGGATATGCATATTCCTAGGTATTTGTAGGAAGGAATATACATGTGTATTATGCTGCATGCCTTAAACAATACTGCCTTAGGAGCAGTAATGCATCTATGGAAACATAGAGCCAGGAGGATGACCATGCTGAAAACATGGCCAGTTATTTATTCATGCAGTCAGCCCACTAGCTCCACTGCCAGTATTCTGTTAGTTTCTTCAGGTCTTTAAGGTAAAAACACATCACTGCTTGCAGTATGTTCTTATGTGTCACATGATAACAGAATCCTCAAATGTTTGATATTCTATTCTCCCTACTTTCACCATAAAGAAAGGAAAATTTTGTTTTAGCTGGTAATCCTGTAATTACTCCTTTTTCCCAGGCTGTCTTTCTGCATTGGCAATGGGACCTTTCAAACCTAACAAAGTCCAGCAGCTTGGCTTGTCCAGAAGCTGTCTGTATTGACTGCATCTCCTTCCCTTCAATTGTAAGTACTCTTCATTTTTGTTGTCTATTGATTTTTCTTTTTCTATTACAAAGAAGAACGTTTTTAGGGAGGAGTGGTTCTGTGAGACAAAAAAAAAAAGTGGCGGACTTCCGAGATTTGGGAGCAGCTGCCTTGGTAATATGAGCWCTGAGCAAGACTAGGATGCTGAGGTATTTTGTGAACGCTATGGGCGGCTCTAGAGATTGGTTTTTACATAGGACCTTGATTTTATTGATTTTGCTTCTTTTCTATACCTAGATGTTATTAGCTAGTGGTGAATAATTTTCTAAAAGAAACTGTTGCAACTCACTTCCTACATGWTTTTAGTATTGGGCTTTTGCTGGACTTCATAAAAACTTAAGAAAAGATTTAACAAGGAAATTATGTCTTGCGTTCAGTTCTTTGCTTRTTTCTGACTAGAACTCTTAAGAAGAAAACTAGGCAGACTAATGCCTTTGAATTCTTTGTTTTGCCTTTGTGTTATTTTATTCATGAGTATACTGTTAATTTGTTTTTAGCTTGGTCTATGATAGAGAATAAGTAAATCTCTCAAGTAGTTGGGGCAGCCAAAGTCACCAAGTTCATGTTGCATCAACTGCACCTGGGATTTGTAGAGGGGTGCTATTTTTTTCCTGCAACAGTTGTGCTCTTGGAGTTTAGGGAAGTGTTTATGGTCTTTGTCCTGTCTGCTATGAATTCAGCAGTGATAACAAGTGCTGAATAGTCCAGATCCTATTGTTGTATCATTCAGTAGGGACCTAAATGGAAGAAATGTCATATACGTATATTTTTTTCCTAGAACTTGAAGCCATGCTATGATAATGGGAAATACGAAAAACAGAGAGTGTATAAGAAACATGCAGTCTTTTCTTATCTCTGCAAGAAAACAGACTGACGATTGAAATGATGGCTTGCTGTATTTCTGAGTATTAAAAAAAAAGGAGTGAAAGCAGCAAAGATTTTAGTTCTGGTATGTAGCTGAGCAACTAAAGTTTGAGTTTAATGTTCTCTGAACTAAAAGTTTGTTTGGAAAATTACAGAATCTTTGCTCCTGGTTCTGCAGGTATTGAGGGGATCTTGGTTTAAAGAAAAAAAAAAAAAGGATGTCTGCAGCACTGCAGCACTAAATTTGTAAAGGTGGTTTGTAAGCACAGAAAGTATGCAAGATTTGTTGATTAGCTGCAACAAGGTCGAGTAGCAGGATGTGCTACAGCTTTGGCGTCAGTGTTAAATGGAGCTTATTAGCCATTGACAGGTGAATGTACCTAAATCTTATATTTTTAATGGCTGTTTATAAGGAAACATAACAGAAGGACCATACTGGGAATGAGGTGTTGCCCTGACATTTAGTTGCTCCTGGTTGACCTCCCAGTTCAAACACAGACTCAGAAGTTTTGTAAAAGGTCACTCAGATTGGCAAATGTGGTGGTGGTAAAGCTGATCTTGAAAACAGGAGGGCTGTACTGATAAATATATTAACATATTTTGTAAGACAAGTTTAATTACTTAGTAGAGGATATAATGGCTACTATTTGGAAAAGATTCTTTTTTCTGCTACCAGAAAGCTTTCCTGTCTATCATATGCGTAAAATCTGTCTCTAATCTTTAAATTTATGTTTTTTTCCTCAAGCTTCCACTGACACAGATTTTTATGAAAGTAACAGATGCCAAGTTTACGTAAAAGCTAATTCCTCCTCTTCTAGATGACCCACTTATGGTATGTACCAGTATACTACAGTGATCCCATAATCATCTGGCCAATGCACACATTCATTCCACTACAATGTTCTAAAAATTCTGCACAAATACTGAGATGAGAACTGACTGACCACAGTATCTATAGCRTTGCTCAAGGGAGTATTATGGGTAACAGCTTAATAGTGTTCACTAAGTATCTTGCTAAATAAAAATCTTTATAGCAAATCATATTTCAAGTTTAAACAGTATAAATAAGGTTTTTCYATTTCTTGAAATTAAGAACAGCTCCTCCGATAAATAAACATAATCTGGTTACAGAATCTATTTCAGGTTAAGATCACTTTGATATTGTTTTGCCTTCACTACTTCCTACATGATGCTTATTATCCGAAAAGCGAGCAATTACCGAGACAATCTCGTCCTCTGCCGGTGCAGTTGCTGCTGATAGYGCGGCTGCCAGCGCGGCTGCCCTGGCTGCCTTCCTCATTGCTCTCTGAGTCTGAAGATTGGTGAAGTAGTTGACAGCTGCAAACTCGATAAGCGCAGAGAAAACAAAGGCGAAGCAAACAGCTATGAACCAATCCATGGCGGTGGCATAGGACACCTTGGGCAGAGAGTGGCGTGCGCTGATGCTTAGCGTGGTCATTGTTAGAACTGTAGTGATTCCTTCAGAAAGAAAGAAAATGGAGGCATTAGGATTCTACTTCAACCTTGCTACTCTTAGATACATCTACCTACATAAAATATTCTCTTGGGTTTTAACAGTCTTCCTACCTATCAGGAAACTAGGAAGACTATGGCGTATTTCAAATTCTTAATTCATGTTCTGTGGCTTCTGTTTCTACGAGCTCTGAATCAAGTCCTTACTACATTAAGCAAACTAAAAGTTAAGATAGCTACCTGCCACCATGCTACTGCTTAGAACTTTTAAAAAACATGGGTATAGCAAAATTCAGGCTCAGACTCTGAAAGATGCCTGCTTTCCCGAAGAGTTAGTAAGCACATCACTCAGCAGAAATCTAGATTAACGTATGTTGACTTCCTAACAGTTACCCTCTTTTTGCCTTGACAGACTATGGCTTACATAACATTAATTGAATAGAGCAGAGTCCTGCATTAAAACAAGCAGTAGGCAATTGCACAAATATTTCTACCAAGTTCGGTYGTCTGTGCGCTTTAATCATAGAGTATGATCTGTAAGAGTTACTAGCAATATACAGACTTGAACATTTCCACAGCCATAGATTTGCAAGGCTGGAAAAATTGTTTCTCTACAATTCTTTATTTTCATGCTACAAATCTGATCACACAGCTCACAGACCCATAATATTCTTCATATCATGAAGAGCATCTTTTATTTTGGTGCGTACCTTATCAATAGCATGTGGGAAATGTACTTGCATCCCACTGYTGCCTGATACAAGCAGGAAAAAAAAAACCTAAGTCATCCAGTAACATGTAAGCCTCCATGACTCATATTCCCTTAAAATTATGCCTACTAGAATCTGAAAAATGCAGGTATCTAAAGCCAGTAAGCGGGAGAATGCCCTCTTCTGCTCCTTTCTGCATTTTGGGAAAGGGTAGGAGGGAAAACAAAAGATAACATAATATCATGTTCTGATGATGAATCAATATGCTATGAGTGATGCTGAGTGGAAAGGATGCAGTGTCATTGCATACTGATGTAGCATCTCACTGCAGCATCAAGACAGTGTGACTTGATTATTTTCAGGGTGTTTTTTTTTCCCTGCAGCTCTCACATGATATAGCTTGCCAGCTGTCTGAGGTTAACTAAGCCCCAATGTCATTACTTAATATGTTTTAATGAAATAAAAATAGGAGATATTATGAAATAAGCAGGATCTCTACTTCCCCCAAATCCACCATGTACRTTTTATGCTAGCAGTGCCAATACACTGAAATATATTTCAATTTCAGATAKTCAAAATGAGTTTTTCAATAAAATGTATTATTAGATTCTAATCTGAATAGTGCTGTCTAATAACAAAATCATGTATTTCAAACCTGAGTAAAAACTTATTGCAGTARGAATTTAAACTAGGACATAGGATTCATGGCATTAGAGATATAGCTAAGACTCCCATTAATGCAGCATAAATATTGATGAAATGCTCTGGACTATAGAAAACTATTAAAGATTGCCAAACTACATTAAGTAAATTGTGTAAGTGGTGATTGTTTAACTTTGTCTAGACACTTTGAATACTTCTTGGTAGCGTCTGAAACATCTGTTAATATAGAGCTGAATATTTASATTAGGTATCTAAAAAAAATCTGCACCTTAGATTTTATTATAAACACAATTTAACACTTAAAATTGTCAAGGTGATTTGATAGAAAGGTAGAGGCTGACCATGTTCCTCTACAGAAATAACAGAGGATTTTTTTCTGCCAAGACTGAGAGAGATCAGAAAGGCAAACAAATACCTGCAATAATAGCTATTGTTACGTGGGTCAGAGCAACTGACACATAACAAGTAATACTTAAAAATAMGGCCTCAGAGAACCATGTTTCTTATCCTGAGTTGATTCTGGTAATGTCATGTTTTTTAAGTTGTGATAAACGCACAGAAGTTTTCCAGTGATATGTTCAAATTTTCCAATTTCAAAGAGCACAGGTGTATTATRTTTTCAGGTATTTCTGCCTCCTACATTTTACTTAATGGTCTGGGAAGAACAGATCCTTATAACTATCAATCTATCTTTGCAAAAGTTTTAGAGTTTTTATTGCGATACTACYGGGAAAAGATTGATGACACCCCTTTTTAAGGAAAATGGGCTTGCTGCATGACTTTGTAAGAAATTGGTTTGGACACTATTGTTATTCTTCTGCTACTGATGAATCTTAAAACCGAATGTGAAGTGAATGCAGCTTAGATGCAAAATTGAAAAAACTTTGTAATGTGAGTATTTGCCATATAATGCAGAGAAAACACTTCTCTATTTTAAACCTTTTCTTACTGGGTCCAGAAACTTTTTTYYTTTTTTTTYCCCTCTGTTTTTCTTTGACATAAAGAACTGGCTTTTCTTATTTCCTCAGATTGGAGGTATTTGGAGCCCAGACTGTTGGGAAGTTCTGAATTACTTAAGACTATACAGTTAGACTGAGCCTGAGAGAAATAAGAATGGAATAAGGATTGAAGTATTCTTTTAAAATGTCAGAATGACTAATTTCTGGGATACTAAGAAAGGTGCTTATTTTACTATTCTGTAAATATGTTCTTTTGCTAATTCTATATCTGTTTTTCAGTATGACATCTGAGAGTCATTATTTCAAGATTCAGGGTCTTTATGTAATTAAGACTGAATCACCCAAAGATTTATTTGCACATTACTTCAGACACAGAATTGACTTTCATTTCCTACCTGAAGCAAAGTTGCGTCAGGTACTACAAATCTCTTGTATGTTTTTTATGTTTCAATAGCAGTTAGCATCTTTGAAAATATATATTATACAGTTTTTAAGTAAGAACTTAAAAGGAATTACAATTGATGAATACCTAATGTTGGGCTTGCAATTATTTAATGATGCTCAGTTGCACCACAACTAAGTTTGGGATTTCAAAAAAAAAAAAGTGTGCTGACACTTTCAGAGGCAACTGAGGAAGTTGTGTTCATTTACCATTCCTAAAAGTTGGGTCACGTGTTTGGAACAGTACAGTTTGATAATGCTTCTATAATGCTATTACATGTGACTGAAATAGCTTTTGACAAACTTTTGTATGTTGCTAATTATAATTATAAATTTATTTTGAATTATATGATACAGATCATTTATGGAGAAGGAATGACAGAATCACTGAATGGTAAAGTTTGAAAGGGACCTCTGGATAGCASCTAGGCCAACCCCCTTGCTCCACCAGGTTCACCTAGAGCATGTTGCCCGGAACGGTTTCCAGGCAGCTTTGGAGTATCTCCAAGGAAGGAGACTCTACAACCCCCCTGGGTGACCCATTGCAGTGCTCAGTCACCCTTGGGGAATATATAACTGTATATTTGCTACTAAAGACCAGTCTCACAATAGCACTGAGTTGTATAGGAATACAATGGAAATGGAAATTTTAAAGAGTTTTGCACAAGCTTTGTTATTTCTGACTAATTTCTTTTATGATTGTTTTTCTGAAAACAAARTCCAGTCAATGAAAGCTTAACCCTTAAGTGCAGTTTTAGGGTTCGTCAATACTGAAGTGGATGGGGAAGCTAACTTTAATAATTGCAGAGCACTCAGTAAAAATAGGAAACAAAACACTCAGCTTCACAGCTAGTGCTGAGCATTAATTCCAATCACTAGAGGAACGAAGGGAAAGGGAAAAGGGGAAAAAAAGGGGAGCCCGCATATATAATAGGGACCCATCTTTAACATTACAATTCTAACTAAAGTCAGGACCTATCTTATCCAACTTTTTCCAAACAAAGTCCTTGCTACCTATAGTTGGGTGAGAGGAATGCCATCCCACATATTATTTTTTCTTCTCTTTTTTTCAAAACCTTTACTTATAATTGATCAATAGGAAAATTCCTGTTTAAAAAAAGARGTTGGCATTCTCTCTGAAACCACCCTTTCTTGTGCATGAAAAAAAATATTGGAGGCRCATAGTGGCAAGTACAACATCACATTATGTCTAAACAAATACTCTGAGCAAAGAATTTTGACCCTGAGATTGAATACTACTTGCCCGAATTTTAGTATTCACTGAAACCTACTAGCTTTCCAATTTAAGGCTAGTCCTCATTGTATTACAGTAGCTGTTCAACACAATGGATTCAATACAGTGAATGCAGTGAATGAGAGAAGAACAAAGATATGAATACCAGCCACGGTTCTTGCTGGAACAGATTCTTTGTTGATCCAGAACACAATCTGAGACAGGACTACAGTCATGATGCATGGAATGTATGTCTGAATGAGATAGTAGCCTATTTTCCTTTGGAGATGGAAATAGAGCAGCTGAAGTGAATATTCACCTAAAACAAATAAGCAATGAAAGCG